CTGTGAAATAGAAGAGAGACATTACCAGGAATAGCTAACAGACAGCAAAATTGCAGAAGAAAGGATGGTTTGGATAGTGGAACATCAAGACCACCAAAAACAAAAGAGGGTCATTAACATGTGAGGATTAGCGAGAGATTAGCCTGAATCAGGGAGATGACAGTGAGCCATGAAGTCAGTTGACTCTTGCGTGAAAAGAAATGCAGGTGTCTCTCCCGACAATTGGTTTTAAAATCTGCATGGAACAGGAATCAAAGGGGAGTCCAGCTGCTCTACCTCACCACCCCAGAATCCACATTTGTCTGAAAGTGGTTCTCAGTCATTTTGCTGCCTTATTACTGCAAATGGCTTTGCAAGTGCTTTGAAAATATGAATGTTACGTGCACACTAAGTGTTGTTATTACTACTTCTTGTAAGCCTCAACCTGACAGTGGGACTTCTAGGATAGACTAATGACCATTCCTTTTACCACACTTTTGTCCAAAAGTGCTTGTAGCTTTTTTTAAATAGCTTTTCTGTTTTATTAAAAGAAGATGTCTAGACCAGAGGTTCTCAACCTTTTTTGGACCAGGACCCATTTGTGAACATTGATGGGCCGACAATGTGAGGTCACGGTTGGCAGGGCTAACCAGAACTTGTTGTGCATTCACAGGTGCATCTCTAGCAGGGCCAAGGAGGTGATCCTCCCTCTCTATGTGACACTGGTCAGGCCACAGCTGGAGTACTGTATCCAGTTCTGTGTGCCCCACTTCAGGAGGGATGTGGACATTGAGAGGGTCCAAAGGCGGGCCACCCGAATGATCCGGGGACTACAGGGCAGACCCTACAATGAGAGACTGCGGGACCTGAACCTGTTCAGCCTTCACAAGAGAAGGCTGAGGGGGGACCTGGTGACCGTCTATAAACTCACTAGGGGGAACCAGAAGGGTTTGGGAGAGACCTTGTTTCCCCTAGCACCCCTTGGCATAACAAGGAATAACGGCCGCAAGTTGTTGGAGAGTAGGTTTAGATTAGACATCCGTAAGAACTACTTCACAGTTAGGGCGGCTAGGATCTGGAACCAACTTCCAAGGGAAGTGGTGCTGGCTCCTACCCTGGGGGTCTTTAACAGGAGGCTTGATGCCTACCTAGCTGGGATCATTTGAGCCCAGTTTTTTTTTTTCTCCTGCCCTGGCAGGGGGTCAGACTTGAAGATCTATGAGGTCCCTTCCAACCCTACTTCTATGATTCTATGATGGCTAGTTCTGACCCAGTGCTCCTCACTCCTGACCCGCTGCCTCCCACCACAAATGCCATGTGCCCTCAGTGGCTGGGGGGGGGCACGGTGAGCTCCTGCAGGTGGTGGTGGCACTGACAGCGGTGGAAGCATGGCGACGGTAAGCATGGAGCTCCCACAGGCAGCCACAGTGCTGTAGGCAGTGGAGGAGGGTGGCAAGCGCCAATTGGTGGTCAGTGACCACCTGCAGACGCCACTGGCAGCAGTGGTGGTGGCCAGCAGCAATCATGGACCACCCACAGATGTTGCCAGCAGTGTTGGTGGTGAGGGGTGGGGTGGTGACAGGCGACTGCCCGCAGGAGCCACTGGGAGTGTCAGCAGTGCCTTTTCATAGGGGGTGCACCGCTGTGCTCACTGGGTGCACATGCACTGATGTGCACCCCTACGCATTGCCAATGCCTCCCATCCTCAGGTTCCAGCCCCACAGTATGTGGGGCAGGAGGGTGGGGCATGCAGCCAAGCAGCCCCTTCCCAGCTGGAACTCTGACAGCCTGCAAGGAAAAAGCAAGTTACCCATGTTTTTCCCTTTCTCCATTTTCAAAGTTTGTTTGTGACCCTTTTATATATTTTTGCAACTCACTTTTGGGTTGTGAACCATGGGTTGAGAAATGCTAGTCTAGACAATACAGCAGTAAAGCACAGTCTGTAGCAGGGACTGGCAACCTATAGCCTGCTGGCCAGATCTGACTTGCAAAGATTCTAGATCCAAGTGTAGCAGCCAGCATGCAGTGGCAGGGGCAACAGAGGGGGCACTCCCATGATTCTTTGCCTGTTGTGTGCTTTCTGCCATCCCCTCTTGCCTACACAGCCCCTGCTGACATCCCAGCCCTACCTGTTCTCTGCCCTTGTTGCTGTATTTGCTCATTAGCATGGCTGTTGGCTATGGGAATCTGTGCTACTTGATGGTGATAAATGAAGACTGTAGGGGGCATGAGAGAAAGCAGGGAGTACTGGGAGAGCATCAGGGAATTGACAATCCATGGCAGCAGCCAAGTCAGAAGCTGCGCCCCAGCACTCATAAAGGTTGCCAACCCCTAATTATACACTAGCATTTCATCCACTGATAGCTCTAATGGAGCTGCAACAACAGTAGAAGGATTTTGTAGAAACCCCAGGCTAGACAAGATTTGGCAATGAGCAAAATCATTAGCTGACATAGTTACTTTAAAGTAACTAGGGTCTTTTCTCCACGATGTTCATATTTGACTCTCTTAGCAGAGACAAACTTAACAAAAATGTGGCTGAAAAAAATGGACTACCATTACAGTACATTTAGACTAATGTAGAGTACAGGATTTTCAAACAAACATGTAGAATAATTTTAGATTTGCTGTTATGGAGGGCACTAAGAATAGCTTGAAAAATGAGAAAGGAAATTTTATGCCAAAGGTTTGTCCAGTCATGCAGAATCAAAGTCTAAGCATGCAAGTAGCTTACTACTAGGGTTAATGAGGCAAGCCTCCAAATGATATACCTTGTAACAGAAAATTGGTGAACAGGTTTGACTAGCATGGTAGAATCCATATACCTACTCCTCTAGTCCTACAGATATTTTCTATCTTGAGGATGCTGCACACTTTGCTAATCGATACCTGTCTACATGTAGAAGGTGCTTTTAGCGTGCTCTTTAAGTGGACAGACTTGAAGAAACGAGGATGAAGCAGAAGCATTCCTATCCCAGTCTCGTAGGAAGGGGGATGCATTACTGGGTGGTGTGGCCGTGCACCTTTGGGTGCCTGCCACTTTAAGGGCTTGAGCAGGCTCTGAGGCAGTCTACAGGTGGGAGCAGACCCAGTCAGGCTGTCACATAACAGCCAGGAGGCTGCCTGATTGGAGCAGGGCTGAGAAGCTTCAGTATCACAGCAGTCTCTGAGAAGCCAAGCCAGCAGTTGGAACTGGGGAGCTGAAGAGTGAACATCTCCTGGTTGGAGTGCTGTTGCTCCCAGAACATCTGGAGGTCAGGGTAGGATCTATGGGGAGGAGGAGGTTCCTGGAGGCCCAGTGTGGGGTCCAGAGCCTTGAGAAGGGGGCTGAGTGCCTGTGGCCTGCTGAGAGGAGGGCTTAGGACAAGCCCAGGGAGGAGCTGCATGCACCAGGGCTTTGTAAGACACTAGGAAGTCTTGAAGACTGGTCCTGGGGAATGACTTAAAACTATGCCCTGCTGGGGCTTGGTGGTGTGGTAGGGCTGCCTGTGGTGGGGTAGACCCCAGAAAATGACACAGCAGTACCTCCCCAGTGAGAGGCAAGTATGGGACACTGGAAAACCTCAGCCCCTGCTGCCTTGTGGGTGACCCTGTGGAGGGGAATGGCTAGTGGAGCACACCCCAACAGAAAAGGACAAGGCTAAGGCCCATAGAATGAGGGCAGTGTGTGGTGGACCCCTATGGGCAGAGGAGACCCTAGCAGGGTGTGGGGCCCATAGGCAAAGAAGCCAGCAGTGGGGCGGGGGTGGCGAGCAGCTGGACATGAAGCCGGTGGCGGCAGCATGGAGTCACCAGCACTAGGCAGGCCTTGCAGGAGGGGCTGCAGCTGCTCCACCTGGCTCCATGGGGTCCTGCAAAACATGTGGCCTGGGGCAGTCACCCCGATCCTCCCACTCCCGAATGGCCCTGCCTACGGGAGAGGACTAGATGCTCGCGAGCCTAGCCAGAAAATCCTCAACTGGTCAATGCTGGGTCCAGGACCAGGATGTTCAAAAGGCAAAAGCACCCACTCTGAGGAACGGCCAAACGCAGTTGCCTGGAATCTCGACTGGCTTAGAAGTTAGGTCAGGGCCTGTGAGGTCAAAGGTCCCAGAGCGGGCCACTGCCAGGAGGGAAGGTTGTCTAGGGAGTTTGCAGCCCCAAATGATGGCAGAGGTTAGGTCGCTTCAGTAGGAGGGATCCACATCAGGGTCCGAATGTCAGCTGGGAATATAGTGGAGCCCAGTGTGGGGCTGGAGCCATATAGTGATGCCATCTGCAAGGCATGGGACACGGTAAAAGGGAGGTTGTTGTTGTATATAATGCTCTTGGCATCAGGGCATAAACATAGGTAACCTCCCACCTAGAAACATCAATTCAACTACATCAGAGGCATGGCAGGAAAATCAGGTGGGCAGATTGCCCTAGACAGGTGGGCAGGCTGCTATTGTGACTGGCCTTGAGATGGCCCCGTCACAGGTAGGCACATAAAATTTGTACATCAATCCTGTTCCTGGAATTTGGTATTAAATCCAATGAAGGACACTGATTCTCCAGGGAGTCAATGAGTCACTGCACTTTAACATTTGGAATTTCTTATGTCATATGGCAAGGAAAGCAGTAGACATTATCTACCAACCCCCTAATATCACTGACTTTTTTTTTGTCCTTTGACCCCAGTGAAAACCCCATCTACAATATACCATGTAAATGCTGTTTATTTTGGTAGTCAGTTAACAGACAATGCCAATGTTGCAGAATGCCCCACAGCATAACACTGATATTTGCCAACTACTTCTTTTAAAGCCTAGCCCATCAATGTATAAAATAATACATTGAGGCCAATGCGATTAGTCATCTGTCTATACCCACCTTCATGAGTAACTATCATACAAGATTTTTAAAACAGTCTAATAACTAAATAGAAGGGGTGTCTGAAGTGGGCCCTATTTGATTCAGATGTGGCCCAAATTGAGGACAATTATTCGATTTGTTGATTCAGATCACTGTTCCTGATTCAATTCAATACAGTATTACAGAGCTAGGTTTGCAGCGATTAGTATTTTGTACTCATTGGGTAGCCCAGATGTTTGTTTTCAATCTGACAAAGTAGTGATGGGTGAATTAATCCATTCTTGCTGCCCTTTATTGTTGTACTCCAATATTCCTAATACATAGTTTAAACCCCACTGTAAGGCTTCCTTTTCCTTCTCCTTACCACTCTTGGGTCCTGCCATAGGGAACATTAGCCCAGGTGACTTTTGGACTGGACAACAGTCACTTTGGAATTTAAAAAATTATAGATTTTACTGTGAACAACAGTGCATTGTTTACATCAAAAGTAGACAGATTTTAATTTAGTGGGAGGCAGGGTCTTGGAGAGACTGTGAAAGATGCTGGGCCCCACAAACAAATCTTTGGAAATGTGGAAAAAAGCAGGTGGGTCTGAGAAGATTTCAAGGAAGGAAGATGTCAGTCCGTGGGGAAAGTCACAATCATGGAGAAGAATAAAATGTTATCATTATTACCAGTGGAATCCTTCCTCACGCAGTGGAAGAATCAGAAAGAGCAGAACCAAGGAAAAAGTTTGGGGTCATGTTCCTGTGGGAAGACACACAAAGATTCAGGGCAATTTTGAACTGCATTTCCTAAGGTTTAATTAAACACAGAATTTGTGAATGCTTTTGCTTCCTAGACTTCCTTACTTTGGCTCCATTTCAGCTTAGTATTAATGTTTGCGTGTGAAATACGGAAATTCTTCAGGTTATAAACAATCAGGAAAATAAGGTTTATAATGGAAGTGTTAAGACCAGCTTAAGTGCCATGATGCAGAGATCTATTTTGCTGCATGATGTTTATATTTAAATATGTTTATATTGTAAATATTTCCCATTAAAACTTTTGTTTATGGAAGACCCACCTGTTCTGGGTCTCAGGCACTGAGGATGGCTGTCAGCAGAGCTGCTGATTAGAACAAACTAGTGCTTCTAATGCCATTAAGCAGAATAGTTTAGAGTGCAGCAGTGCTGTGTCTTTAAGTAGCAGGACATCTGCTCTTTCATGGAACAAGTTATTCTAATGACAAAAGTATTTGTAGTATCACAGGAGCTATTGAAAGACATGGCAGTAGTGTAACTTTGAAACAAAATGACATGTGGTTGTATCTCTACAACCAAGGAGGCGTTTTTAAAACAAAGAGTTGCATTTTGGCAGTGATACACTTCTACATGATACCAGATGCTTTCACATGATGTCAGATGTGGTAAAAAAACCCCAACACATTATCAATTTTGCCTTGACAGGTTTAGATGTTTTAATTTTGGGGGTATGGCAGGGAGAAAAAGGAGCTCTTTCACTTGAGCTTTTCAAAGGGAAAAAGGCTTGTGGTTAAGAGCTTAGACAAGAATCATAAGATCTGGACTGTAACCCCAGCTCTGCCACTTGATGTGTGATTTTGAACAAGTCACTAACTCTCTCTGTACCCCAATCCCACGATCTCCAATATTAGAAAGATGATGATTCTTTTGTGTCTCCTCTTTGTTTGGATCACACAAGCTTTGGAACAGGAAACCTTTTTTTAAACGCCTGCAAAATACTTATTGCACTTGAACCCCAAAGTTCCTTTGTAATACAAGACAAAAAAAATCAAAGTTTAAAAAAAATGTAATGTAACATCACACACCAAAACAAGATCAGCAATCAACTGTTCCTGGTCACGTGCCAATATTTGATGGTATGACATAGGAAGCATGACTGACAGAAACAGCTTGGTTACCCAGCATGAGAGCCAACCCACACAATTAAAATCTATTTCAGCAGTGAGCCAAATGGAGCCATACCTAGTGGGCACTAAATATATCATTGACATGGTATGACTGGCCTCCAGGGGAAAAGTGATAGCTGCCCCTTTTTATAAACAAGTCATGCAGCATGGCTTGACATCAAAACTACTGTTCTTCTCCTTCTTATTGGGAGGGATAGAAAGAGCAGGTACCCAGTGGAGAAATGAGAAAAGATAAGTGCGACAGAAAGGCAGTTCAGCTTGATAAAGTATACAAGACTCTATTTCTGGAGGTTTGTGACCTCCGAGCACTAAAAGAATTGCTTTCTTCATGCTTTGTTCCCTTTTCCCAAGTAAAACTGTATAGTCATACTCTTAATCATTCAAGCCTTTTGGTTCTGTAGCAGCCCTTGTGAACAGCAGACTTAAGCTGTTCTGCAAACAAGGAATAAAATGCTCTACTTTGCTGACAGGGAGTGATTTAGTTGCAAAGCAAATTTATGCTTTCCCCCCTTCCTCCAAGTGACTTGGTGTCAGGTTTTCGGGCCTCCTATGTAAATAACAAGCTGTTCTGCCAATTCACCCATGGCACTTTTGTAATCAGCTGCAAGTCTGGGCCAAGAGATACTCCCTAGTTCAGCAGGAGCTCAAGCTAAGTTATGACGAGATGGAAAAGGGACCATACTCCAGTGTAGATGAGCTGGATGGGAAGTAATGAGGGTGGGGGAGGAAGGCTCTCACCCATTTACAAGAAACCTTAGCAGCATTTACTGGTACATTTCTGCAAACATGAAACATTACTACTGGCAGAAACAAGAACTCAGTTTGAGACTATGCACTTTGTATAGATCAAGCTTCCTACCCATTTAAAAAAAGTTGATCTGCTACTCCTCAGCAAAGCCCCTCCATAGCTGTTTTTCACAGCATCTGTTCTCCACTCCATCCTGTTTTTACCATTAAACATTTTCCTTTCTCCTCCTTGTTCTCTTTGCAGTATCTCCAAAGCAGAAGCGCCACCTCATAATACCAGAGTAGAATGTTCAAACACACAATGTTGGAATGCATTACAAAAATACAAAAAAAACAAACAAACCAAAATAAGTTATTCTGTTTGCAGTTTGTACATAAATAATTAAGCAGCAGAAATAATTTTATCAACCATTCATTTCCACCTGATCGAGCAGTCCATGCATTTGTTTTATTAGATTCTATATTCCAAGACAGGAGTTGTTTGCTTACTGGCATTGTACATTTGAATGTTGGCAGAGTATGTTGTTGCACAAATTGCTTGATTTCTTGTTCCTAGTACAGCATAGTTTCTGTTTAATCCAATCAGGATAAGTGAATTTCACTCTGCGGTTCCCTTTGGAGTTGTATATGGATGTTCTAAAGCACATTGTATCTAATTAGCATTTGAATCCAAGTACAAAACTTTCTCATAAGTTTTTCTATTAAATAAATTGCATGATTGCCCTTTGCCAGTTGGAAGCCCAATTAACATAGCAACACAATATGCTAGATTCTCAACTGCAGAGAGAACTTCTAAAGTTTTTGGGGGTTTTGAAAAAGAAAGGTCTAGGATTAGCGGATTACTCTTACCCCATAAAAATATTAGGTATGAAGTACTAAAAATTGACACCTAAAGTAATCTCTTATATCCTTAGATAGTCAAATGGTCTGATTTTCAAGAGTGGCCCGCATCAGTTCAGCATCATCAATTTAGTAATTGTTATGTGCTGGTTTAACATTATTTTGTATTCATTAATTTTCAAGTAAATGAAATGTAGAGTTTTATATTATATGGTAAAATCACAGGGTACAAAGACAGAGGCCAACCGCAAGCAACTTGGAGAGCTGTAGCATAATGAGGGGTAAGCAGCCAGGGCAAGAACACTAGGCACAGCTGTTGCCAGTCCAGCTGCTGCCCCTATTGCTGCTGTCACCCAGGATGCAGACCCTGTTGGTTACACTTCTGTTAGAAAGTGAAATGGAAAAGCTGTTTGTCTGAACATAACTGTAACTTGCAGATGAAACATCAAAAAATGGTTAAAACAATTTAGCATGCTTGTTTATAGTTTACTAATGCTAACAGCTTAAATTGTCCATATTGTTTCTAAATGGTCGGGAAAAATAGCCTGTCATCATTGGTAGGAAGCCTTTTTGACACTGATTGAATTTAAGGTACAATACAGTTCTTCACTTTTGTCTCTTATCCACTGCTTCACTTCAATTGCAATTAATTACCAAAATCTATTTAACAAAACATCAGAACTTTATAAAGACCAGTGACAATCTACAGATTAGCAAAGTATAGCAATCCAAAACAATTCCCATTTCATAAAGAAAGGGCAAATAATACATGCTACCTTTACAGTGATTGAAAGAAAAAAAAGGCCACAATAGTAAGGGTTATTTAATAGTTACGAAATTGCTGCAGTTGATGTCATCCTAAATTGTTTGTGTCACTGATTGACAGAAATGAACCAATCATCCTGGTTATGTTAAACTAACAGCAACAGACTAACAATCAGTCTGTTTATAATTCAAAAGAGCTGGTAGCAATGGTGGGAAATTTTTCAAGAATTCACCTAGTAGACAAGGCTAAAGGGTCTGGAAGCTGCTATGCTGCAGTGTTCAGCCCAGCTGCCTCTGGGAACAGTTACTGCTGAGTTGGCCAGAATTTCCCCTGAGGCCTCTGGCCGAAGCGTAACTGTCAGACACCCTTCCAGCACACCTGAGGACAAAAATCAAGACTGTAATTTGGACAATACAATATGTGAAGGTTGAACCTTGCCTCTAATAGGGATTTTCTTAATAAATTTCTGAGTAAAAACACTAGAAGTTCAGGAGTCTTACCCAATCTGTAAGTTCAGTTTGAATAACAGCCATTCTACTTTCAGTCCCAGCTGCTATAGCCAAGATTTCTTAACAGCTCTGCTGAATGCTGCTGTACCTGTTCCTGTTTCCATGGAAATGGACACTGGCAAAAGCAGCATAAGAGCTTTAAATAATTACGAGTACAATTAGCGTTTTACCTCTTAGGAAGATTCTTTTTTTTTTTCTTTCACTTTCACCAGTTTGATCAGGGTGAAACTTCTATCTATCCCCCGTCCTACCAAATG